TCGTCAATGATCCCAAAATTTACTATTATGAATATGAGAGAGAGAGAGAGAAGAACAACATATTCAGGAAGGAGGAACACCAATGATTTTAAACACAAAGATCTTTGAAAGCAGCGACGTCATGTCTTCTGAAGCCAAACTTTGCCAGAGAGGGTTATCTGAGTGAACGCTTCGGAGACTTTCTATTAGAAAGCTTGCTTTAGAAACTGGGGCACACTGTTTAAAAATGCAAATATCAAAAAGTAAGAACTGTCTGTTGGTACATTAGTGGAAATATTTCTTGGAGTTTGATCCATGAGGAGACGAAGAGTCAGCTTCGTTGTCCATCGGTGGGTTGGTCGACTTTGGTCCAGGTGAAGATATCTCAACAACATCTGGATGGTTTTGATTTGACATTATATGCAGATGGTTCCCTGACAACCAATTCAGTCTGATCATCTTTAGACTTTTCCTGTTGGGTCACCAGAAGCTTTGTAGTTTGGTTGAAGTGCCTGAACAGCTACTGTATGGATTGCAGCACAGTTTGATAAGACATTCGTGACCCCTTGACTTTTCCTGTGGAGTAATACCTTATAGCTGCACAGCTAATGACATCCCCCCTGCCCTCTGCTGTATATTATGTTTAGAACATTTTAAATATACCTGCTAAACATGTTAGCACGCCACTGACATTCAGCTCACAGTACCATTGCGCCAGAGCTGCTAGCATGTGGCTGCACAGTCTTAATCTTGTTTAATCTGCCTCCTGTGAGCTCCTCTGCTCTATTACAGTATCGCTCTAACTCTCCGGAGTAACCCTTTAATCTGCACCAGGCATCGGCTTGTGACGAATTCTGGAAATGCAGATGTTTGGTTTGTGTGTTGAAGAAAGATTTGTTAGCACTGCGGAAAGATGAAGTGAAAAGAGCAAACAAAGGAGTCAGAACATCTGCTTTGATGGCTTCCTCAACATCTGGTTTGCTTCGAAGCTGTCAGGAGTTTGGGGAATATCACTTATGCACCGCAGGAGGTGATTTAAATTAGCAGCGAGAGCGGGACAGAGAGGTGTTGCAAGGGTTTTCCAGGTGTCTCAGATAAGTGAAGGTAAAGGATGATGAGAGGACGCCCGAGGAGCTGCGGGTGAATTAGCCTTTAAGGACTGGAGTCGGCGAGCGATCATCACCTCCGGGCCTCAGACTGTTTACCTGATCGATGAAGCGCAGCAGAGCCGTCGACATACAAACATACGTGCTCCTTATGGGACGTGCATCCAAAGCTAGCATCCAGGCGAGATCGATGGACGAAGTGTTTTCACAGAGGAAGTTTTCACGCTCTCATTTCAGTCCGTCTGGCAGCTGCAGCCTGCCTAAAGAGGCTGCCGCCCTCGGGCGACGCCACCCCTACCTCCGCCTGTTTACCTCGTTTTCATTCAATAACCCGATCTGATACAAGACGTCAGGTCAGCTAATACTGACTAATTGCGTCGAATGAAGGGGGACGGAAAATGTCATCAGCAAGCCAAATGAGTTTTAATTACTTCCTATAACCAGATATAGCAGATCTGTCAATCTCCAACTCACTCTGCAACTGGGACGGAGGTGGAGGGGGGAGGCAGGCGGGCGGGCGGGGGGTAATAACAGCACAGACCTGAGAGGGGAAAGGGGAGAATGAGAGGTATGCAAGAGGAAGGGAAACAGAGAGGTTATGGCGAATTAGGAGGCGATTGGCCAGCCGACGCATGCATTGTTTGAACTATATGCACGATTCACTGTGAGTGAAACTCTGCTGCCCTCTAAAGGTGACATCTCCCAGAATATGGGTACATTCAAAAGGCAGTGTGTATCCAAAGGGAATGTGTGTGTGTGTGTGTGTGTGTGTGTGTCCTGATTGCTCGTAAAACCGTGAAGTCCTTTGAAGACAGACCAAGGGATTGGATGGGCTGCGAGTGCAGGGTCGGGTTACCGGGGGGTGAAGAAGGAGGAGAATGGTGATGATGTGAGGTGAGAAGCATGAAGGAGGGCCAGGGACAGCGACCAGGAAGAATGGATTAACACACTTGGATGAACTCCCCCCACCCCCACACACCAACACACACACACACACACACACACACACACACACATCTCACACATGCTCAGTCGCTCGGCGGCCCGCAGGTAAAGCCAGCTCAGTATCAAGTGAAAATCCCACTTTTTCTCACATCATCACTTACCTGCAAACGCCGCTGTGAATAGACCACACAATGACATTTAGAACTTGTGCAAAAGCCTTCATCATAAAAAGCGACTCGAGCTCCAAAAAAAAAAGAAAAAAAAAAAAGCGGGATGCATTGATTTCCCTCAAATGTCAGGAGCGAGTGTTACAATAAAAATGGCACACCCTATAAAATTCCAGAGGATGCATGTTTCAGACCGAGCTGCTGCGAAAACACACTCATCGATTGCTTTTATTTTATTTTTTATTTTTTTCCTCCCACAGCATCAACACATCAACGGGTGCTGCTGTGAATATTGAACATGAGCACAAAGTTTTTTTTTTTTTAATATTTGTGCTCTTTTAACGGCGGGTGAAGCGGCTCTTTTGGAAAATCAGAATATTTGAAATCTGATCACATTACTTGACCCGTCAATTAACACTAACGCCCGCGCGGTCCTGAGGAAGCGCATTAGCTGCGTGTTGGAGCGTTCGAGATCTATATTGTGTTTGCAAAAAAAAAATAGATATTGAAGTTTTCCAGTTAGCAAGCTGGAGATTTATTAGATTTTTCTTTTTGTGGAAAGAGAGCTGCAATTAAATTGTTCATCCGAAGGTCAGAGTTCAACGTGTTGGACGAGAGTTGCAGGAAGTTCAGTCAGAGGTCTCGCATCCTGTTTGCAACTCAAAAATAAAAATGTTTGCCCCTCTTTATGGCATTTTCTGCGCCATAACTGCCTTTGAGGACGTCACTGGTGGATTCAATCTGCCTTTGCGTTGTTGCGCTGTGGCTCAGTGATCAGAAGCAGCAGTGATCACTGACTGGGAGTGTTTGTGTGTTTGTGTTTACGCTCCATAATACGATCACGCACTTCAGCGAGATGAAATGAAAGCGTTCTGTTTGGCAGAGAGAGAAGTTTGGGAGTCACTGATTAACAACTAAGTGTGATAATACGAATCTATTGCAGTCTTTTTAAAATCAGAACTTATGCTAACGACATCACAGTGTTTTAATAATTGTTGGTTTCTTTTTCTCTTTTATTTTTTTTCTTTTTCTGAAGTCTTAATTTATCATAAAATACAACATATCAGAGCTGATCAGCGATACGGTCCGGCTTTTATTCCCTTTGTCGTCCCTTCAAAGTCACTCCAGAGATGAAGGCTGCACAATCTCAGACTTAATCACAGCGAATTAAAATGTGAAAATGCCATAGCCGCCACTTTCTGACTTTTCTGGTCACTGTGATCTGTAAAAAATGGATTAGCTTCATTTGTGAGGCAATTTCCTCCGAACGAGGGACAAGAAATGAAACGCGCCACAAAAAAAAATAAAAGGTTGGTCGGAATTACTGAATTATTTTTAGATGAGGCATGAATTTCCACAGCAGACAGTTTGTAATCAATTGTAATTATGTCTTCTGCTGCTTTTTGGGAAGCGTTGGCTCTAAGACGTGTCAGACAAGCGAGCGGTCTCATATTGAACTTGGCTGTGAATCCATTATCAACATGTGCAGGGCTGGAAATGTGACAAAACTACAATCTGATTAGATTTAGAAATGAAGACCGGCCTAAGCACACACTGCGCCAGAACGGAAATTATCACTGATCGGGATTCTTGCTGCTGCGTTTGTCGACAAAAAGCTCGAACATGACAATCCAATTTTGCTGCCGTTTGATGGCGGACCTTTAATAACATCAACCGCCGCCTTTGTTGCGACGATATTTTAAGTAATTACACGTTCAGATTAGATTCGTTTGCGCGGCCATTTTCAAATTAACTCCGTTTAACACCTGAAAAGTTGACTTAATTAGCATTTTACCGTTTATTTACCTCTAAATGAGATAGGTGTGCAGCACGGATTGACTCAGGAGGTTGGTATCATCTCATTTAGGGGGACCCGGCGTCTGTAAATCAGATTTCAGTGCTTCAGCTGCTCAATGTGTGTTCAGTCCAAAGGGAAACACCTGACTGACTGACTAGCTGAGAGAAGTCATTATTTCCTCTATACGGGACATCATCTATGGAGGAGTTCAGGATTAAAAGCTGCTGGACTTTTAACCCAAACTGCTCCGAGGCCATCTGGGCAAAAGGTGACTCGAAGCGAGTCCTCGCCGCCGGCTGCAGGTGTGGAGTATGTCGCCGCTGTTTCCATGGCAACCCCGTACCACGGCGTCCACCCGCCTCCGCTGCGAGATGGCGTGACAGTGCGGCTCTTGTCCCCCCCCCCACGCACGGAGATGTATGGGTCTCTTATTGTCGCCAATATCTCCGGAGACGCTCTCACTGTCTCTCAAGGGCATCCTTTAAACAACTGTCCTTTTTATGCTTCTTTATTCTCCTCCCCCCTCCTCCACCCTTCTTCACAACTGAACACCATCAATCTAGCCATTTACTTTAACTTTATTTCTCACTCCATTAGTTTCTAGGACACAGAGCAGCACAAAGAGAGAAAAGGGGGAGAGAGAGAGAGAGGGAGAGAGAGGGAGATAGAGAGTGTGGAAAAAAATGAAAAGAAAGTTTGGCTCCTTGGAGAGATAAAATGTAATTTCACAGTCAACTTGCTGTGATATATTATTTCACAACAATGGGGTGTGGGCTGATATGAGCCCTGCTTGGCACCTGTACAGAGCAGTTAGAACATCAGCGATGGCTCCCTGGAGAGGCTGCTCGTGAGTGTGTGTGTGTGAGTGTGTGTGAAGGCCAAATGATCAAAAAAATTACCTGAATGGAGGCACCAGGAGGGTCCGGCCCACCGGGTTAAAGTGAGCACAGTCAACTGTAAAATTTGAGCAGTCATGATACATGCAGGGGGAAAAAAAAAATCCAATTTTGTTTAGAGTTATTTAATATGAAATAATATTTCCAGTCTGTGATTTCATACCTTTGTGTATTGAGCTTTAGTGGGAGAAGGCAGTGAAACAGCAGGTGTAGATAAACCCAACCACAAAAAAAAAAAAAAAAGGAAAAAGGCACAATCCAGTCCTCCCTCTATTCTCTGACATGTTTACAGTGAGACAGTTGAGCCAAATGAAAGAATCTAAGCATCATTTATTGTGGTAGCTGCGCTCCCTCGTCGCTCCTGCTCCACCATCGACGCACACAGGAACATGCTATGGCGCTGATAGATGCCGTGTGCTTCATTAGCCGCAGGCTGTCCTGGGAATCACTTACACAATATCAAACAGCTTTGGCCAGAAATCTAATGAGGCAGACAGCAGATGGGATGAGCTACGCCATGTAAGAAATGGTCTAATTTCAATTCAAAAATAATATCATCCATTTAGTCATGCTCCTCAAGCTATTGTTTTGTCTTTTTTTGTTGGATATTTGCTGAACTGTTCCTAATATCAAGAACAAATTTAACAAAATGATATTCGCCAGTCGACGTGTTATTGCCGCCGAGCGCGACAAAAGAACATCGGCTGTGTTCTCGTGTCTTTCTCACAGTTTGCTGTTCTTCTGAAATTGGGACACCAGCCCCAGCACCTGCTCCGACGCCGCGATGACCTTGTTCTGCAGGTAGAGCGCGCTGTTTTTAGACGTCTCGCTCAGGAAGTAGCGATAGTTCACCATGATGCCGCAGGAGTTGGCGACGCCCCTGGGGCTGCTGTCGGCGTGCCAGTTGAGCCTCCACATGGTGGCGCCGTTCTGCAGGTGGAAGTTCGCCACCGGGTTCAGAGCGTAGCCTCGCCGCTTCTCCCCGTAGAGGTACCAGGCGCAGAGACGCATCAGGACGGGCTCCAGGACGCCGGACAGCCTCTCCGAATGCATCCACTCGCTGGTGCCGATGAGCTTGCGGAGCGAGTCGACGGTCGGCGGCCCCGGGGTCGAGTCGACGGCCTGCTCCACCTCCCGCCACTCCTGCTCGGAGAGGAGGTCGGAGCCCCGGCCCTCCTTCCTGTACTGGGCGAGCAGGCCTTGGAGCCAGGAGGAGAAGCCCGGGATGGGCGACAGGCTGGAGAACTGGGCCATGTGAGGGAACTCGCTCTGGAAGACAAGAGGATGGAGGTAGAGTTAACCCTCATACACCCAGAACCCCTCATGTACCCCTCCACCGTTCTGCTGCTGTCAGAACGTCTGTTTTTATGCTTTTGGGACCTGCAAGGTTTTACTTTCTTTAATATTTGGGGGGCTGTGACAGCAAATCTGCAAATAAAGTCATGTTTGAAGCAACCGATGGTGAGGATCAGTCAGATATTTCAGAAACAGAACTACGGACTCAAGAAAAGCACGAATATAATGAATTTTTTTTCTCTTTAAAGGACGTTTTTTTAATATATTTTCTGCTTTTAAACAGACTGCAGAATGATTCTTAAGGAGACGGCCACGACAGCCACCTGGAGGAGGAGAAAATGGGACAAAAAACAACAAAAGAAAAGAAAGAAAAACTGGGAAAGGGACGAGGATGAGAAAAAAAAAAGAAAAACAAGGTAAATGTATAAAGAAAACAGATGAAAGGCGGCAGAGGTTTGACCTCCGCTAGAATGCAAGGGTCGCCGGTTTTGCAACGGTGGAAATGAGGGGCGCGAACGCTCAACCTCGACATCAAAACACAAACTAAATTTTCTCTTTTCGTGCTCGGGCTGCCGCCGCCGCCGCCGCTCGGGCCTCCAGCTCCTCAGACGGGGACAGCATTACAAATCAACTCCACTGCTTTGGCGTTTGCTGCCCCGCTGATGGAGATGGATGATCTCCTCTCTCCTTCTCCTCCCTCTCATGCCGTCCTCCTTGCACTCTCACCTTTAATACCTGTCCTCCTCCCCCCTCCACGCCGCCACGTGTCTCGTCTCGACCGCCCACACACAAACCCACCCACGCAACTCATGAGTTCCCTCTTCCAGCCCGCTACCCTTCTTTCTCCTGCAAAATAAAATAAAAAAAACACACTCCCTCCTCCAGCCGGCCCATCTTCGCGCTCCAGCGTCTAGGTTGATAAAGTGATGGAGCAATGTGGCAGGCAGGGAAGTGAAAGGCTGCCGATGAAAGTGGAAGTGTCAGACAACCCCTAGAGGGACGCGCTGCTGTCTGAAAGGAAAACAATGTCCTTTCTTCCTCCTTGATTTCACCCTCCCTTCGCTTCAAAATCCGGCCTTCTCCCTTTCCTCGTCTCGCTGGCTTTTTCCTCCACCTTGCGACTGTATCATGATCTTGCCTCTTTTACTTCTACTTTTAACTACCGGCTGTTCCCATTTTGAGGCTCACAGAAAAAAAAAAAAAAGGAAATGAAATGAGGATGGAGGCAGTAAAGAAAGGAACAGGGAGGAAAGAAGGAGCAGTGCCAGAATTGTGCTCCAGGGTCCAATCTACAAAGACAAGCAAGACGTCCTCTCTTCACCTTATATCACGGCTGTGACCTTTACTTTTCCACTCTATCATCCATCCATCATCGTAGTGGTCCCTCTGTGGCCGCGCCGCTCCTCTCCTCACCTTTACGTAAGGTAGAGGCCTGTCAGAAACCTCGGGCCTCTGCAGAATACCCGTCCGGTTTCGTGTTAGGTAGAACATGGCGCTTACACTCGGGGTCAGGGGTAAGATTTCCATCAAACATGTATGCATCCACCCATGGGGCGCGTTGGACAGAAACGTCCAGGAGAAGGTTTGAAAGTCACACAAAGGAGTAAAATGCCAGAACGCTACGACTGATTATACTGAATTATTACGCCAGTGAAACCATCACGCTGCATTTACTCGGCCACTTCGCTGTTCTCCCCATCGTGGAGACACGTCAAAGGAAAAAAACTGCTCGAGCGAAAGCTACGTGCACCTCGCTGTTCACCGGAAATGAGATCAATTAGAGGAGTAAACATGTTGTTAATTCATTCAACATGTGGCTAAATTGTCGCCTTAAACGGCCTCCTCGCTCTGTATGATAGTTTAATTTATCCCTAGCTTTCATTTTGCACTTTTACGACTTCTCTTCACAAAATTTTGCTCCTTCAGAACTTCAGACTGTAACCGGATCAGAGTTTCACGCTGCATCTACACCTCTGTTTCAGAAATTACACATTTATGATATTAATATTTTTCAAATATGTGTTTTTATTTATAAGATGCATTCATCTGAAGTGACAGTTTAGGTTTTATTTTAATTCACAGGTCCATTCGTATTTAACTCAGAGCTACAAACGCCTAAAGTTCTGACTTGTAGAGTTTAATTTCTAATCAAGTTTCGGGGCACTAAGTCATGGAACAACTTCTCTTTCATAGCTAAGACTTGTGCGTCAATAAAAACATTATAAAAACATTTAAAAGATCATTTATTTGCTGTTTCATGCCCAGGTATCATCATTTGCTTTCATTTTTTGTTTCCTTCTTGTGAAGTTTTTCTTCTTCATGTAAATTTTGTTCTGTTTATAATTTTGTGACATTTTTTAATCATTATTTAGGTGGAGGCTTTAAATAAGCCAACCCAGGCTCTCTGCCTCTTCCTGCACAATGCTTTTATCTGTTAGTTGTATGTTTGCTGTAACTCTGATCTCAGCCTTCGATTCTATTCAAACGTACGTTGAGTTAAGACGCATTAAAACAAATATTTACACTATAAAATTGTAAATTCATTCATTATAGTTAAATATTAACAGTAGACAGGAAGACAAATCCCTACAGAAAAGTCCAGCAGCTGATTTATGCTGCACAAAAAGTTCCCACAGGAAAGTTCAGATGGATGGATGAATGGATGGATGGATGGATGGATGGATGGATGGATGGATGGATGGATGGATGGATGGATGGATGTTTCCCCACAGAATATACCTCCACATGCAAACACAGCTTAGTTCATTCGCTGCACTTTCCTCAGTGCAACAACATGACCCAGTGTGGCTGATCCAAAGCAGATGATTCTGTCGTATCACTTCCACCTTTCCTGTTACTGTAGTCATGATTTTTTTATTCTGGTTGCATTCGCGAGCGCTGCAGCTTTAAGAGTTGGAACAGAACTCACTCACACCGACTGTAAAAGATATTGACGTAAACACAGTCAACTTTGCCCTCCGTCACATTAGAGTTATTGTTAAAAGTTCTGACATTTCGACAGTCTGGACCCGGAGTTACGCAGAATGATGTTCAATCACTGAACCCAGCAGGAATGATTTGCTGCTTTTGTTATTTAAATCATCAAACTCAACGATCCGTCGCGTCGTAATCCGAAGAAATGGAGCGTTTAATAAATATCACAAAGTCTGATTGTGTAAAAGTGGAGTTCTGAAGCCAATAAACAGCGCCGAGCTAGCAAGAGATATGCGAGGAGACGGCTCGCCATCTGTCGGCGTATCGCTCCGTCTTTAGCGATCCCTTGTTGATACGAAGCTCAGACCGCCACCGAGACACGAGGATGAGATTTACTCAATTCAAATATATTTCTTGTGGGTTTTAACTCTCTGGTTTTTGTTTTTCTCCCAAAGGTACCGTTTCCTGCTGGAGCACCTGGTAAGTGCACAAAACAGAAAGATGTCAGAACAACATGATATTTAGTTGATATATGTGTGTTTTTTGTTTTATTTGTGTGTTTTAGGTTATTACTTTTATTGAAATGGAAATTGTTGACTGTGTTTTAGTGTCTCCAGGACAGATGTATTGGTAGAAATGCCCACACAGTGAGTGGTATATGTGGGGGAGCTACAACCCAGATTCCTCTACATGCACGACGACGTGTAAGAATCCTAAATTATTTCCATTCTAACACCTCAGCTAAACTCGATGGCGTCTTTCTACCTTGCATTCCCTGAACTCAATTCAAAGGAATGCTGAGAATCTTTCAGACAGACTGTATGGCAGTGATTTATTTCAGCAAAGCATCTCTGCATAAACTGAACGCGTCCCGCCTCGTCTATCTGATTTGACACACCAGAAAACTTTCAATCCCTCTTGCTCAACATCACTGATTTGTTGTTAGCGCGCCGCACTTTTGTACGTGGAGCACAGAGAGGCTAAAAAGTAGCACACCTCCGTTTTACTCGCTTCTTCTTTTTGCATTACAAAGATAACAGGCGGAGATGTTGACACGCGCGGCTCTTAGACCTCTTGATGAAGTCAACATCCCCATCTTTAAGCTTTTTACAGCACAGTGCGGCGTAACCTACTTTCCAACCTCTGACACAAACAGCGTTAATGCCAAAGCAGAAAACACAACAGCCGTATCTGCTGCGCTCACTCAGGCGTATGTTTCCCTTAATAAAAATGCCAATAAGTAAACCACTTGCGGCAATCAAAGCAGTCCTGTAATATGAATAAATAAAGTGGAAGCAGCTTAAACCTGATTTTTTAAGAGGATACGCTATAAAGAGCTATTTCCCATCTGTTGGGTAGAGTGCCTTTTGATGTTCCATTCAATGTTCCAATCATTTAACAAGTGCTAGCTGGAGTGGCCCGACATGAAGGGCACTTCTGCGCTTATTGAGAGGGATGGATGAGATTTCATTCTGCCTGTCTGCCGAGTGCTGCCCTGTTTATGTGTACATGCATTCATGTGTGTATAAGCGAGGACCGACACGACTCGGGAATCTAAACAAGACGGGAAACTTTTTGACGAGTAAATCCTTCCTGTCGCTGGAAACAACAACAACGCCGCCGCCATGCCGCAAAAACCACTTTTTAAAGCTTCAGCGTCTGCAGGTTGCAGCAGCTGCTCACGTGTCATGTGCGCCGTCATGATGAGCCGTTATTATGCAGCTGTAATGAGGCGGGATGGCTTCAAAGCTTTACCGATAAGACCGGCTTCTTTACGGTTATTGTGTTTAGATAACAGATGTGTGCCTAACCTTGTCTGCGCTCTCTCATCAAGCTTTACCTCAGAATAACCCAACCAGAGCCTTTACAGAACCTCCACTGGAATGGAGTTAGTGTTTTACGATGGTTTTGGTGCTTCGATTAGCAAAAATTAACTAAATGTGCTTTACTTCAATCCAGTTAATTCTTATGTCTTCAAAGATTATATGAAGAAAATAATGAAATTTACTTGAAAACAGGAGTTTGACATAATGTAGAGTAAGAATGACTTCTGTTTACTGTTAATGCTGTAAATACAGATAAATGCAGTTTGACTTCACTCTACACTAAACACCACAATGAGAAAAGGCACAATTATGTTTGTGCTTGTTTGCATCCAGTTAATATTAACTTCTGCTGATATTCACTTATCATTAACTTATTAATATTTAAACTTGTGCTCACATGCTGTGGTTGGATTCTGGAGATGGAGGAAGTGATTTATCGAGCTACACTTTGTGTGCAAGGACAGACTTTTGGAAGTTAGTTTGACTCTTTTTGTTCACTAAAACTGAACCAAGACTTTGCAAAGAAAGATCAATCAATGAATCTAAATGTATATTATCTCTCAAATGAGTTTTCTCGGCTGTAACATCCATTTCTAGTCACCTGCAGCTCTCGCACCACCCTCTTGATGAGGTAGTTGCCCAGCTCCACTCCTTGCAGGCCAGCCTGGGTCGAAGAGATGGAGTAGAAGATGGCTGCATTGATCTTATTCACATCCTCCTCTGAGTCCAGGGTGGCGAACTCGCGGACAATGCTCTGAAAGACAAAAAAAAAAAAAAGCAGATTATTGTCAGGTCCCGAAGACAAATTCTGCATCCGGCTTTGTTAGCGGCACAGCTGCAGCCGAGGCAGGATTCCTGTAGCAACTGTTCAACAGCTGCTGGGGAAATCATTGCACAATTTTACACCATAAAACACTGTCAAATTTCAATGCTGTCAAAAGCACCTTTCCCCTTTACTGGAAAATGGCGAGAAAAAGAAGTGAGCGCTGTAGAGGCTGCTCCCAGAGGGATGTGCAGTTTAAAGGTCCTGGTATTGTTTTTCCTCACAGAAATTATCCACTTGTCAAGTGAGGAACAAAAAAAAAAAAAAAAAAGGTGTGGTAAAGAGAAACAAGACATTTCTAGCAGCCTGCGGCTACTGACCTGTATGTTATCGGCGATGTCTTCGGTGAGGGCCACGTGTAGAACAACCAGGGGCTCTCCTGGCATTGCGGCGTGAGTGAAGGCGTAACAGCGGCGGTACGGTCCCACTCGGCGCTTCAGGTCCGTCCAGTTCCTCACAGGGTGCACCGCTTCATACCTGGCAGAGGGATCACACTTTAGCTCGCAAAGCCTCGACCTCTTTGGTTCATTAGTGTTCCCATATGCAACAGCGGCAGGTTTAGCACTAATTTCTAAAACATCGGTTCGTCCGTTTAAGTCGGAGGTAGACAAAAGCAGGCTTTTCATTTAAAACTCCGTTTGAAGCAACTGTCACTTGTAGATTTGATTAGCCGCTCCTCGTATCGCAGTGCAGAAGCTCGTTAGCTCTGCCAGGATCTTACATTTCTCCATATTTCAATTCTAACATAACCCCATTTGAATGCTTAGAGCGCATACTAAGACACAAGTTAGATTTATGCTCCTGAATTTCAAACAGTATAGTTTTAATTTTACAAAGAGAAGGCCCTCTAGGATGAAGGCAGCAAGTTTGGCATTTCTTAAGCTATCTTGGATGATGAGCTTCCCTGGAGGGGTGCTATAAATTCCCCCAAATCCAATACAAGACATAGACTGTAACGTTAGCTTTGCACTCTAATATAGGTCAGTGGCATGCAGGCGCAGCTCCCATATAGAGAGGAAATGCTACACAACGAACAGGCTTTCATAGTTATATATATGATTGTTGGCCTTGGAAGACACTGGTGATGTTCCTGCTGTCTGTATTAATGTAGCTGGACATGCTGATGTTTGCAGCTGGAGTTAGAGAAGATAAATGCGCTGTGCTAGAAACACAGCTTGAGTTTTTAAGTTTTGCAAAGGCTAAATTAAAAAGTGCAAACGTATAAACTACTCGAGTATTGTTCTTACTGAAGACTCATAAACTGCATATTTGTGCAGAAATCTACCTGCTGAGCCCACTTATTGTTCCTGAGCTGGTCAGAGGAGGTGTTTAGCAAACTATGAACTCTCATATCTGTTGTATTATGTGCAGCTGATTACAACAACACATGAACGTCCTTACTGGCTGATCTTCTGCAGGATCTCGCAGGGCGACTGCCAGGTGATCCTCTCAAGCCGGAGCAGACCCACGGAGAACCACTCGGACAGCAAGCCCTTCAGCGTGCCGTTCAGTTCCTGGGAAAGAGAAGAAAAACAAAGTTGAGTACTTAGAATTAACATCCAGCTGATGATTGAAAACTCACCACATTCTCTCCCTTGTTGAGAACAGCTCAGCAGCCGCTTCGTCTACGCAAGTAACCGTTAGCAGAAAAAGCTTCTCCTCTACATTCTGGTATGTTAGCGCTGTGAGGAATGTTATTTTAGCGGAGCGATGGAAATGCTTCTTTTATATGTTTTAAAGAAGAAAAAAAAAAGAACATATTTCTCTAGAATATCATATTTTTTTATTACAAATTAGACAAATATTTTACATTCACTCATGAGCAGCACCTTCCTGAGTAACTGAAGTTGCTCAAGTCTGTCTATAGGAAATGAACAGTTCTATATCATATCTTGCATTTTTGTGCCCTTGTAGGAAACTGCTCAGCAGCATCTCTGTCAGTGCACAGAAACCTTCCAAACAAAAACAAGGTCATCCACTAGAATCAGGTATGTAGACACTGTGAAGAATGTCACTTTACTGCAGCCGTGGGAAAGTTTCTTTTATGTCTTCTAAAGAACAAAATACCATCAAAGACTGCAAAGAAACGGCAGCTTTTATATTACTATTAAGTACTTTAATAAACACAGACTTTACAACCTCACGGCCGCTTTTATTGGGAAAACTCAGAAGCTCCGTCTTCCTGAGCGACGGTGAAGTTGCTTAAGTTTGCCTGCAGAACAATTCCTCCACCTGTATCCTGCACAGTGTGCCGGCTGCGCGCTCCCCTGGGTGTCTGTATGCCGTTGGAATGTTTTCACATTATGAATAGTGATTTGTTCAAGCTTGCAATGGGCGTAGAAGGGGCACTTCAATAAACAACTTGCCATTTCAAAGCAGGCCTGTCCTCCAGCAAAGGTCAGACTTCATTTAAAGCAAATCTCTTGCAAACACACAAACAAGCGCACACGGTGCACACGCTGCAGCACATAAATGCAGCTTATATTGGCTGTTCCATAGGATGGCTTCTCTTCAGGCTTACTTTAATGCCAGTTTGTCAATCATAATAATAGCTAATACAAACAAGCACGACTACAGTCGTGGTATGAAAGCCGCTGCTGGCAGCCATCGAATCCAAAACTTACAAAATTTGAAATTCTTCCCTCACATATATAAATATATATATATATATATATTTATACATCTGGCCTGGTATTATTCAGCTCATGGCTGAGGGGGTTTCACGCCGGAAAATTCTCTCTGAATGAAGAGCAAATCAAAAGTAAGCCTCGGAAATAAAAGTTGAGCAAAACTTCCATCATGTGTGCCTGTGTCTACGAGTTCCTCAGACTTCACGAGCCGCCTGAGGGGAAATAATCTACGATGGCCGATAATCCCACACCAACATTTCTGTGGAAAAAATGCAGCACATCAACAACACCGTGAGGCTGGAGAGGCGGCCGCCCGCCTCAGGTAGCCAATTCTCAGCCACACAAAGGGGAGGTCAAAGTGAGACGTGTAATGCGTTGACCTGGAAGAAGATGAAGCCTTTAGAAATGGAAGGGTCTGGTATTGGAAGCCTCAGGTTCGGAGAGAGGTGAAGGAAAGGAGAGGAGGAGTAAAGAGAAAAAAAAAATCCCTCACTCCACTAAGAAAGAAAATGAAGTAAAACTTTTGGAGCTGTATCAATAGCGAGGCGCCGATGCCGCGAGTTGATACGGCCTCGGCTACAAAGGGCTCGAGCTGGAGTCATTTTGTGATTATACAGGGTGGCTGAAACTGCAGTGCCTGGAAAGAACAGTCTGTCTGCAGAAGGCCAAATGACCAGTGGCCGGCCAAGTGTGTACAGGTCAGGATCAGAGTGTGCCAGTACCTTCACTCCAGTAGGCTGCCTGCCATTTGTCAGCCTGACTGCCTGCCTGCCTGTCAGTCAGTCGATGGGGGGAAAAAATAGTCACAGTGATACTCCCAAAGAGGCCAACTAAAATGACATCTCTGACTTGTCTTAACATCTTTCATCCACTCAGTTTGTGGACAGGTGAACAAGAATGAAAGGCCTGGAGGTAGAAGGAGAGAGGGAGCGGAGAAAAAAAAACATCAAAAATCAATTACCCAACCAAGAGAGACTAATCTAGCGTAGAACTCAAAGTGACACCCCGGCAAGAGCCACGGTAATTGCAGCCTTGTGAATTTCAAACTAAAAGAAAGTTAAGAAATCGTGTATTTTTACCCTCTTTGATGATGTTTTAGCTCTACTTTGATTATCGCCGTGCTTTGATTGCCAGCTTTCCCCCCCTCCCCCTGGTTACATAGCCTCAATACAGGTATTAAAAGCCTCATATTTTTCATGACCTTTTCTCATTTTTAGCTCAATCAATTCTGGGGATAACAGCAAGCAAAGATCGCCGGGCGCAGCCAAGACCAAGGTGGTCAGCACACAGAATTTAATACTCCGTAGGTAGCTCAGACCTTTTTAAGCTACAAAAGCTCTCAGTGGACCCGCGTTATTGAGATGAAATGAATCTGAATCGCCTCACAGCATGAGAAAAAAATACAGCTATCGAGCAGGAGAGGGGAAACAAGAAGTCCTCTGGCGACGGTGGCAGTCAGGGTCTTCGAAAATCATATTAGGCAGCAGCACTTAACACATGATTGCGAGGTTAAAAGGCACGCACACTTTTAGCTCTTTTCCAAATCCAAACAAAACAGAGGAACTGATCCCACAGATAACAAAAGGGGATTTAAATAAGCTCGCCTCGCGTAGCGCCTCACCATCTCAAGAAGGGAAGTTTTATTTTTACCAACACAGCTCTTTTTTTTTCTTCTATGTAATCTTCATTAATGCATCAAAGCATAAGAAGATCACAGCATTTCATCTGCTGTGTTTGAGCAAAGTGAACAAGACATTACAACTGTAGCAGAGGAAGGATTTGCTTTAGATTAAGCCTCCGTCATTAAAGTTGTATTTTCCCAATACGAAACCAAAGCATCTCATCCTAACAGCACATTTCACATATGAGGACGACACACTGGGGAGCGCAGGAATAAACTACTATAGGAAACAAACATTAAAGCAAAACGTTGACTAATTTCGTCCCAAGCGTCGTCCACATTAGTACTTAAAAGCTCGTTTACCTCCCTTTGGTTCTGGCATCATTTTGTTTTCAATAATTTCAAGTAAACATCATTTGTGTTATATTTACACGTCTAGAAAACCTACAGCCAAATGTGGCCCGTCTTGATCTGCTTGATGTCATCCAAAGCTTTACTATAGATTTATTTCACCTCCTCTCTGCAGCATCTCCCAACTCTCTCCCCACATCCTGATGTCCTGACCGCATGTAATCTGACAGTCATAAAACATTTAGCATGAAATCCTGTATTGTATTTAGGATTTTAAAGATTATTTTAGAAAAGTAGTATTTGGGGTCAGAGCTCACGGGAGGAAATCTGTGTCTGTCTCCTTTAAAATAACTGACGGAGCGCTTTTAATACTTTAAATGATGATTCTTGTCAAACCATCTCTTAAAAACAGGTAGAATTAAGTACCTTTGACTCCCATCAGTGTTCCTAAAAAGCCCTTATTAGAAACAGAAACATGGAACAACGTTGTAAAGTCATCACGAGCAAAATTATCGACAAAGTCAAGAAAAACTGATAAACCTCTTGGGCTCCCCAGTTCAGGGTCAATGGTGAGTTTCAGATTATAGTTTCAGTACAAGAGCTGCTGGTGACCTGTGACACAAACACAGCAATCCTCCAGAACACAAGCTCATATAAAGCCGCTGGTCGATTTAGAAATCTAGTGTCACGTCAAACCTGTAAAACTTTGAGACACAACAAACACAAAGTGATCCATGAAACCCTAAAGACACCTGAATACACATCTTATAGTGGCTTACTTAGGCCCAAGACCTGCTGCTAAACCACACATGTAAGAAAATGGACAGCAGCCGCTCGACATTCTGGTCACTTGTGAACCGACACTCATAATGTAGGTTAGAAAAGGAATCATGTAAACACACTGAGAGGCTGCTAACAAACACACCTTAACCGTTCAGGAACCTTCATGGAGCCTAACAACGCATTTATAAAGAAATATGATAAGTCAAGTTTTGTCTTGTGGACAACTAAACAGTGAAGTTTGACTAAAGCTTGCCCTCCTGAGAAATATGATCATCTCCATTTTTTCCTCCTGGAGGCAGGATTTTTATTTCACCACTAAAACTAAAACTAAAGCTCTTGGTAAACTGTTGACCAAACATCCCCTCCTTCCACGGTCTTGGTAGTCAGAGTTTCTTGCTTTTCTTTAAGTAATTTGACAGTAATCTGAATATATTTGGAGTGTTGATTTAGAAAATTGTGATATGCATTCCCCCCCCTAATTTCTGACATTTAGAAAACCCTGTGCATGTTAGGCCCAATCACAGTATTTACTTAGAGACTACTGCAGTTCATATGATGCACAAAATACTCACATGTCCACTTTGTTACTTGAAGAGTGGAGTTTTTAGTCATGAGTGAGTATGTAATAAAATCCAAATATCTATTTTTCATTATATGTGCTTTAGGAAAAAGTAGAGAATGAGCAGTGAGGATCTCAGATGGTAATATTTTCCAAGATTAATTTGTATTCTCAAACAAGGGCAAAGGGTGCGACTAATAGCACGGACTCGCCACCTGAAAACCCTGCCGCTGTTAATTCATGGAGCGCGTGAACACGGCCACACTCCTGTGCTAAACCCAATTGAAAACTGTAATTATATTTGACTGAACGTGAATGACTGAACAATGAGGTACATGAGGCTGATTTTTCTTTTTAAAAAAATTAAGTTGCCAAAAATGTTCCATTAAGGGGGCAAAGAGCATGGCAGCCATGTCTGTGTGATGGAGATTTTACAGTTTCTTTCTCACCCCCTCCTACACGTTCCTTGCAATTTTATTTTCACTTTGTCTTCAAAAGATTCATTCAAAATATTCATTACATGCCTGATTTATATTCAGCTCTTTCAGCTTTGTAGCTGCGGCAGAGTAGCTCTCGCCTCTTCATGTATAGAATCAAACACTCTTAAAGGGTCTAAATTTAAAAAAGCTTTCCAGCAACAGTGGAAGGCGGCTCTGATCTGCACCGTAAGTCCATGTGTCCAGCCGGGACGTGCAGCAAATATAAAAGAAGTCCTGAAATTGAGCTTGACAGCGTTTTGTGCCAGACAAACTCCAGCTATTTGCTGAACCGTCCTGAGCCAAAAGGAAATGCAAGAATCTAATTTAGGACTGGCGGCTTGGTAACTAAGGTAAACTGGGCCAAAGGTGGCCGGCACTCAAGCTGTGATGAAATATGAATCATGTGATGGGAGAGGGAGAGCAAAGGCTGCCGTTTATATCTGTGTGTGCAGGCATCCACTCTCTGCCTGCTCAGTGCCTTTAGATTATATCACATGCAACGCCTCTGTGCCAAACGCATAAGCGCGAACGGCACCGTTTGAGTCATGCGGGCACCCGTAGAAAATGTAAACAAGTGCATTACCCTGATGTGCGGGCTCTCGCTTGTTTTGGACGCGATTATCTCAAGCAAGTCAGCTCGGAGGTCCACCAGAAACTTCACGCCCCCCTCGACCCTGCTTATGTGACCGAGCAGCTGCTTGTACCGGGGAGTCAGGTTGTACCGGATCCTGTCCTCGACCTGTAAGATGGTCGCCTGGTCGCGCAGCTGCGTGTCCAGCAGCTTGACGGAGAGCTCCGACACGCTCCTGTGGTCCACGCCGAAGTCCTGCGACAGCTTGGACAGGAAGCCCACTTTGTCTTCCTTGTCGAGACTCTTGTAGAAGTGCATGAACTCCAGGCTGTTGGACTCGGGAGGAGGGGGGGACTTGTCTCTCGTCTCGTATGAAGGTAAAGGTGCGACGACCCTCGCCAGTATCTCGTCCATACCCGGGACACCGCCGCGAAGTGGGGTCGAGTACCAGCGCCAGCCGCCCACGTCCGAGGCCTCCAGAGCCGCTCTGAGGACCGCCCGGTGTCGCCAGCACCTCACACTGCCGCGGAGAGCCCGGATCACAGGGGGGGAGATCATCGCCGGGAGGGAGCTCAGCTGTCTGTTTGGAACCCGCGACCAGTGAACACACGGCGGAGAAGCACTTCCGGGTCTCTTAAAGAGACAGTAGCGCTGCCATGGCAACGGGTTCAAAGTCTGCTCTGCTCCCAGAATTAACCATAGATATGTGTAATAAAGACTTTATTATACGTATCTATGGTATAAATAACAACCAATCAATCAATCAGCTTTATTGATAAGTGAGCACTTACAAGGAATTTGACTCAAGTGTTTTCTTTGCTCTAAAATCATCTTTATATAGAGTTTATATATATTTATATTATGTTGTATATAGTTGTTAACAATTTTTAAAATATTTTTTTGCTCTGAAAGGCCTGCACCTTACTTTTCGTTGTACTCGTTGCAATGACATTAAAGCGAATCTGATCTTATCTGAATCTGAATCAAAGTACTTACAAAAAAGCAAACAAGCTCACATTTAAACAAGTGCAACAGGTTACAGAAGTAAAATAAGCATTTAGCTACTGTGCACAACTTTGTGTAAAAGAACATGTTAAATTAAACCAGAGTTCTTTGTGCAAAATCACAGTGAACCAGAATTGAGTGCAAATCAAGTTGTTACCAATTAGTATTATTTACACCTCATGTACATGAGGTAGGTGGTCAATAGTGGAGAGCAGCATTTCTGTGATTAATTTCAGAGTAAAGTTGCTGCTCCTTCATGTCAAAAGGGGCCAACAGAAGTCGTCTGGCCATCTGATTAGGATGTCTCCTTCCTTTGGAGGCTCTTTGAGATGAGGCCTCAGATAGAAACAAAAGGGTCTCATGTGGCCTGGAAACACCTTGAGATTCCCCAAGAGGAACTAGAAAGCAGTACTGGGGAGAAGGACGTCTGGAATGACCTGCTTCCAAACCTGGATGGATGGATGGATGGATGGATGGATGGATGGATGGACGGATGGATGGATGGTTTCAGTTATGTCACAAATTCCTCAGGAAATGTCAAGTACAAGAATATGTTTCTTTCTTATGCTCATTTTGTAAATTTGAAATAAAATCAAGTGGTACTCTGAAAAATGTAGGTCGTTTGTTTCTGTGTCAATATAATAAAAAACTGATTTATGTATTTTATGTCTGAATACATGTAACAAAAAACATCATATTTATAAATCAATTCATGTTCTAGATTTAAGACTTTTTTTTCTCAACTCATGAATTTTATGCATCCAGAACCATTTGTCATATTTGATGTTTTGTAAACTAATTTTCCATCATAAATCAATTTTTTCTATGCTTTTATTCTACATGCTGATGTTCTACATGCAGACATTAAGCTTTTTCTAAGTCGCTTCTTAACAGATCAAAACTATATGAAATCAGATTTTTTTATTTTCGCGTATTCCCATGTGTACTTAACCCACAACCTCTAAAGAAAACAGCAAATAAAGTCACTATAATATGAAACCTGACAGTCTGTAGTCATCCTAACTGTTTCCAAACCAATGGCTGTTTAATCAGTTTTATACAGAGGCCATAAAAAGTGAATTCAGATTTTTATTTTTTTAACAATCTGTATCTCTAAATGTAGCCTGGCAGGATGAAACTGAACCCAATGGACACATTTTGTGAGCTCATATATTACGAGGTGAAATCATCATCCTGGCTGGTTGGTAAAGCAGCACATTCATGGTCATTTTACAGGGTCAGAGACGTCTTATCGTCACTTTCCTTTTGCCCTTCACTGCTTCAGCCATTCACAGCTTGAATCATCTTTTATATATTTTTGCCCTATTCCTATCTTCTGCCATAAAATGACAGGAGTGTTTTAAAAAGGCTTGTTCCCCGTCTTTGTGTTCAACCGCCGTGTTTAATAAATGCAACTGGTTTTAAAGAGTTTCACACACATGAAAGAAAATCTAATGCTCTTAGAATCAGCCAGCAGCTTGTCATGAATATTGTCTTTTGATTTTCCGATTAAGCAGCATGTTCTGATTAACATATCGAGACCCAGAATCATCCCTTCGCTTGGTTAAATGACAGTACTTGTGTTGTCATGTGTTTTTATGAATAATATCAACAGACAAAGGAGATAAAAACAATGTCTTCTCAATATTGCAGGTATGAAATACATTAATATAAAAATATGGTGAATCCTGTTGTACAAACTCACTGATTTTATTCCGTTTGTTGTCTAGCAGCTGATTAAAAGTGAACTGGGATTTGATGGGACTCATGAATATGCACATGCTGAGTATCGCTAAGCAGATAAATGCAATAAAAAATACAAAAATCCACCTGTATCTGATGGAGAAGCTGCAGGGGGAAGATATACAGACACATACACCACTGAGCATCACATTACAGCCATAATCTGCTGGCAGAGCAGAAAACAGAGTCGTGCTTGAAGAGTTTTTTACATCACAGAAGTTTTTAAAACAGCAAGAGTCTCGTATCGATCGCACGTTTAACCTCCCCGATTCCAACATGACGTTAAGTCGATGCAACATGAGCTGTGTTCAGCATCAAACTGCTACAGTTTATATTAGGTTTTGGCATTTTCACCATGGAGTCCTGAAAAAAATCTTTCTGGCGTCTATATATTAATTTTTATTGGCTTTTTTAAAAATTCTCGTATCTTGTCTCTGACTGTAGACTCTGTCGAGAAACAGCCCCGACAGCCTTCAGTTGTCTCTACGGATACACACCTCATATTATTGCTTCTGTCTGCAGCAAAGCCGGTATTGGAATTCTTCATTCAAGCTGAAAGCATCAAAGTGGTTGTTTTTTTTTTTTTCATATTAATATAGAGAAACAATAACAGAAAACATAATTTAATAATCCTGGTTTCTGTAATAATCCTGCTGTTGATGTATAAGGTTTCCATGCTGACATGAATACAGATTCAAACTGGAATGACATTAATTTATAAGTTCAAATTTACTCCTGAAACATTTAAAGTTGTTGCCTCGACTGTCAAACACAGAGTTCTGACAGTGATAGTACACTTTCAGACATCTGAGCAACAATCCAGTGTACACTGTACGAGTATTCCCCTTCTGGGTTTGGGATAAAGTGGGACTGACGGAGATAAATTCTGCCCCAGTGAAGTATGGGCTGAGAAAACAAAGAAGACTGACTGGGTTGTGAACTAGATTCCCCTGTACAAATGGCAGAGGGAAAGAGAACACACACTGTAGACCCGAGGAGGTGATGAGATGACACTGCCATAATGTAAACCAAATAACTGTGGAGTGAAATAAGCTCGAGTCAGGAGGTTAATTAGCAACCAAACCGCAGTCACACAAGTCAAGTGGGACTTGAGCCTTGCTTGCTTAAACTCTTTTGGG